CTGTTAGTTGGGAAGCCCCCGTTTGAACGCGAGGACGCCAAAGATACGTACGCTCTTATCATGGCCGTCAAATATATCTTTCCAGAGAGCGTTAGCGAAGGTGCCAGAGATTTGATCAGCAAGGTACATATTTTGATCCCAGTTGTTCAATGTCATACATAAACATAACGGATTGGGTTTTTATGCCTTCATTATTTAGAATCGTTTTTTCTAAAACGAAGACAGAAAACTTTTCAAAGAATTTGAAAATTAAAAGCAGTAGATAAAAAATCTTCAAAAAAAAAGGGCGGAGAAGGGGTATTAAAAATAAAGCTAGCAATTTTAGAAACTGGAGGAATTCAGGCGTTTGGGAGTTTCGAAAAATTAATATAAAAAAAAATTTTGGAAATAATTTATACTTGTGGATAATGAAAGATTGTTCCGGCATTTGCGCTTTGCAAGGCTTCAACCGTTTCGAGATGTTCTTGGTGTTTTTTGATCACTATCAATTCTTGATTATCACTCTAGACCAAGAATGGGCTGCTTCTAAGGATATTGAAGGGAAAGTTCTGAAAAACACTTTAAAGAGGAAAAATTTTTTTTCCAGAAGTACTTTCCCTTTGCTTATTTTTAGTTACTTGTAAAAGAGCCGGCTGATCGTCTTCCGCTAGAGGAAGTGATGGAACATCCATGGGTTCGTCAGTATGTCGACTTAAACACCAGTGGGAGCTCATTCGAGCAAATCCTGGAGCCGGTTTTGAATTGCGACCCATAAATGTAAATATATTGATCTTATGTGCCTTAAAATGTAAAACTCACTACCTCATGGTGCTTTCTGTTTTCAAGTCCTTGGTATGTGCAAAATTGTTTTTCCGAATTGTTACCCGGAAACATAAATGTGTGAAAATCATTGTTGAATGAACTATGAATGTGTCTGCTTTTTCGTTTAACAACAAATACTCCCGCAATTTAATCCCTCAAATTTCTAGCGCGGGCAATTTCCAGTTCACGTTTTATCGCGATGAGACAGGGGAAGGAGGAGAAGCGGGACCAAACAAACAATACCCAGGCACGGACGGATACAAAGTGCTGTAGAAATTTTACAGATATAAACAATGGATATTCCGGGCTAGGATTTTGGAAAAGGGCGGGACATGAAACCGATAGGCGGCTTCATGTTCTGTCCTTTTCCAAAATCCTAGCCGGGGATATCCATTCATTTAACAATGAATTTCACACATTTATATTTATGAGTAACAGTTCGAAGAAATAATTTTGTACTTATCAAGGATTAGAAAACATATGCAGTTTGTTTGGAGTTATCTGCCCACCGCGGAGAGGAACACAGCGGAATTTTGATAATTAGTGAAAACGCCGGAAGTTTCTAAGTATGCCGAGAAGACGGCGACATAATAGAGTTGGCCACTTCAGTCTGACCATCGAGCCG